ATAGCAAGTAAACCAAACATGGTGGCATACAACTACAATCCCAGCACTCAGGAAGCTGAGGCTGGAGGACTGTTGCAAGTTCAAGGCCAACATGGATTATAAAATGAGTTCAAGGTCAGCCTGAAACCCTGTCTCAAAAAGATAAAAACAAAATAAAACAGAAAGGACTGGGGATGTAGTTCAGCGCAAAGTCCCTAAATTCAATACCCAGTGCCCCTTTTTAAAAAAAAAAAAAAAAAAAAAGAGGAAAAAGAAAATTTCCTTTTAATACATAAAAGGAATAAATATTTATTCAAATACTGAAAAATGCTATTTAAATATCGGGCCAAAATAAATTGTTCTTTCAAAGTTAATTTGTGCCAGGCCTGGTGGCAAACACCTGTAAGCCCTGTACTTGGGAAGCTGAGGCAGCCTCCACTACAACTGCACAATGAGATCTTGCCTCAAAAAACAAAACAGAACCAAAAACAAAGTTAACTTGTTTTATCCTTGGTACCAGTATGAAGGAATAAAGGGACATGTTTCAGGAGGAGAAAGCTTTTGATTTTAAAAACTTTTTCATAATAAGTCTTTATTGTTTTGAAATTGATTTCAGCTTTAATTTGGTAACTGATGGAAGAAATCTCTTCTTCAGACCCCTTTACACTGTTGTGGCATTATCTTTCTTTCCTCTTTCTACAAACTTCAGCTAGGTACATGTAAGTAATATTCTTCTCATTTTCATAAAAATACTTCTTAATCTGCACATTTTTAGGAAAAAGCAACAGTAATTACTGGTTAGAGAATGGTAAAGGTACATTTCTCTAAAATCAATGAACTCTAGAAATTAGTTTTTGCTGCATGATAGTTTAAGTAACAGAGTTCCCTAAAAGCATCCTTTCATGCTCTTGCCCTGAAGATGTGAGCTGTGCATTACCTAAGTTTCTTTAGTGATACAAACTGAGAAAGCTGGAAACTTCTTACGGAAGTCTTTAAAGAAACATACTCACCATGTAACAAAATTAGTGTTAGGAACAAATGTGGGGAACCATAAAAATTGAAAAACAGTAATGATAGATAGAATATTTACTTATTTATATGCATTTAGTTCAGGGTCTTACTACCTAGATAGGACTCGCAGTGATTCTCCTGTTTTCAGCCTCCTAAGCCGTGGGATTACAGGTGTGTGCCACCACGCCCAGTCCAATCACTGTCTCACTGGTCCCCGGGGACGGGCACGCCAGGGATTGAACTCCAGCCACTATGCTCTGCCTAGGCAGGTGCTTTAGTCTGCTGAACTATCTGGCCAGCCCTTAGGTAAAATGTTAATAATCTTAAATAATTTGCTTAAAATTAAACATAGGGAAATAGAACACTAAGCTGATGTAGCTGATGACAAGGTAAGGCGCACACTGCTCATCTTTAACAGCTTAAAATACATATTTTCTCAGAATGCTCAGGTAACACTCCTTTGTTCCATCAAAATGTACTTAAGATGTACCTTAAATGTCAGGAACAAAACCTCAGAGATCATTTAAAAACAACGATGACTTTATTTTTTAACTGATCACCTCTTAACACCTGCACTGCTGGGATACAGCTCAACGGCGCAGCGTCTGCCTGGCTGGCGCAAGGTGCGAGTGACTCCCAGGACCAAGAACAAGCCCATCTGCAATGCATTTTCCACTGCCAAGCCTTTCACAGAATGATTTTACCTTTCCCTTTTAGCCCTCTGAGTAAGCATGGAATATGTTAGTTTACGTTCAGTTTTGAAGCAAATGAAAGAAAACTGCCTGTAATGTTTATGTGCCATAAGAAAATGCAGGGATTACAGAAGAACTGAGTCACATTTAAAAGCTGAGTAAAGACGCAAAAGATTAACTGATAAAAGAAAAGGAGAAAAAAAGACAAAAGGTTCATAATGGATATAAACAGGAAAAATTTGATTAGAAGTTTAAAAAAGAAATACAATTATCTTATTGCTAGTCTTGAAACTACCATAAAATTAAGTAAAAGCGAGAAGGCACTGTGAACAGTGAACTGCTAATACTTTATAAGTATCCAAAAACAAAACAGTAAACTTTCTAACAGACTCTAATAAAAAACTTAGATGAAAATGAACTTAAAGTGAAAGACAAAAACAATTTGTACATACACAATGAATCTACTAAAGTGCTTTAAAATGGTTCTACAGCAGGGAAATACACATGCAATTAATAAAGCAAGACACAAAAGTGAACGGAGTATGACAATAATATAAAATTACAGAAAAGGGATTAAAAGGAAATATGCTAAAATAGTTATAGCTGTTAACCCTGAAAGAACAGACTATGGGATCTGTGTTTTACCCTACAATTATTTTCTAAAAATAAAGGAAAACCTCTAATAAGCCTGACTTAAAATATAGGTGTCGTTTAGCTTTGGGGTGTGCTTTTGTACTAACAGCTAAGTCTTGCAGAAGTCAGATTCCGCATGGTTTTGCCACTAGCTAGCTATGTGACTTTAGTCACATCATTTATTTTCTGAGTCCCAGTTTTATCATTTGTAAAATAAGAAGCCTGAAGTAACATCCTGGTCCCTTCAACTCTAAAACAGTGTTAAGTATTTTACTAAGGAGGTAAGGTATTTTACAAGGAACAGTGATGTAGTCTTATTCTGCTCATTTTTTCAAATTGAAGAGCAATTAAAATTCTAAATGTCAAGTAAATTAAAATGGTAACTTTTTTCTTTGGAAGCAGTGTCTCACTACATAGTGCAGACCAGCCTTGAACTCACTATGTAACTCAGGCTGGCCTGCAACTTGGTGGCAATTTTCCTATCTGCTGCATCCCAAGTGCAGGGATTACAAGCATGCAGTACCACACCTGGCTTAACGTGCTTAGCTTTTTAATATTTTAATATTCATGATAAGAATGACAATAGACACCCCTAGTCATTTAAAGAATTGAGTTTTTTCATAAAGCTTGTCTGTTTTTCTGAGAGGCTCAGATCACCAATATTACCCAATAGCCACCACAGAATTACTATACTTAAACTTCAGGGTTGAAAATCTTTAAACAAAACCTGTAAAGGCATAAATTATGTGTTACAGAGGATTTGAAAAAAAACGCATATTCTACTCAGGAGAGTAGATAAAAGGTTGAAAAGCTCTTGGCCTTTGCAATACAATCTCAATGTAATTTTCCACACCTCTTAACAATGACCTGGGACTTGGGGGAACCACTGTAGTTGACAAGGTATTTAATTTTGGGTTATCCTACAGAGAAAACACAGAACTGCTGTAAAACTTGCTCTGCCCATCGCATATGAAATGTACTGCCTGAACGGGAATGTCATGGCTTTTCTATGTTCCTGTTTCATGGTCGTTAAGAATGACTTTTAATATAACACTTTTCTTTAAGCACAATGACCCAGGAGCCTCATTATTGAGAACGGCTTATAGAAACTGTAGAAAACATACTACGCTAGAAGTCCAAACTCTGGGTTGGCAAACATGTCTCCTCGACTGCTGCCTCTGAACCCTCTCACACGCCCTCACAAGCAGACGGAACTCACCTTGTCCTTGCAGGGCCGCTGGCAGTTCTGCGCCGCGCACACGGCGTTCTCGTCATCCGACTCCTCTGCCCCCGACCAGTCGTACTTGGAGGGGATGTCCAGCACTTTTTTCTCTCTCTTCTTCTCAGTACTCTCTTTCACAGGGTCAACTTTGGCTGCTGCAGCTTTTTCCTTCTTTTTCTTTCTCTCTTCTTCTTTTGCTAGTTTCTTGGCCAATTTGTTCAGCTCCTTTGATTTGTCTGTATTTAATTTTAATTTCTTCTTTTTTGGTTTATCCATTTTCTTCAGCTCCTTGGATTTCTGTTTTCCTTCTCCAAAAAGCTGTTCTACCTTTTCTAGTTTCCGTTTCCGTTTCTTCTCTGAAGAGTCTTTTCCCTTCATTTTTAATGGTTTCTCTTCCATACTGTCATCCTTCAAAAATATAAAATTAGAGACAATTTTAAAGCAAAACATTTTTAAAACAGTGACAATTGCTTATATAAAAGACCGAGAAGAAACACATTTATAGACTCATAAAGTAGAAGAGCGGTTACTAGGAGGCGAAAGAAATAAAAACTTGTACAGAGTTTCTGTTGGCATGACTAAAAAGTTCAGAAACTAACTGTGATAGTTGTATAACACTGTGAATATATTTAATCCAAATGAACTATTCACACAAGAAGGGCTAAGAGGGTAAATCCTGCATACATTATACATTATGCCCCACACACAAGTTATCATTCTAGGGCTGGCCAAAAAGCTCAGCGGATTAAAGCGCCTGCTTGGGCAGAGCACAGCGGCTGGGGTTCAAGCCCTGGCGTGCCCTGCTGGCCCCTTCCCTGGGATGCGCGGAGGAGGCACTGGAACTGGGCGTGGTGGTGCATGCCTGTAACCCCAGCACTTGGGAGGCTGAAACCAGAAGAATCACTACGAGTCCGATCTACATAGTGAGACCCTGTAGACCCTGTCCTAAAATACAAAAACAAACAAACATAAACTGTCATTCTAAACAAACTTAAAAGTCAGATTAAGAAGACAAATACAAAAATAACAACAAAAATCTAATATATTAGATAATGAAAGAGCAGAAAATAATGACAAGTCCTAAATAAGATAGTGACTTATTTTCAGCTTAGCAGGGGAAGAGAGCAGTGTTAACCTATGTCTCAGTTATTCTTCTCTTGTTGCTGGGACAAAATACCCAACACCCAAAACGAAGGAAGGAAAGGTTTACGTAGCTCACAGCTAGCAGAAGTTTCAGTCCATATGTAGGTGGCTCCGAGGCAGAGTGGCACATAGCAGAGAGCAATCTTCCATGGTGGTGCCAAATAGCAAGAGAGTGGCAGCAGCTCTGGCAGCTAGCCAGCCTCTCTCCCCTCCTTACACTGCAATGCAATGACCCACCCCAGGGCCAGAGTGCAGCAGTCACACCTGCAGCCCAGCACTGGATCAAGAATCAATCACAAACTCCAGAAGCCGCCCCATGACAGCATGAGGCTTTGGGGGGACAGCCAGACACAAACTGTAACAGCCTACATTAATACACCCTCTTCCATCTCTGTTTAAGATAAAAACATAAACAGAAAGCTGTTATTTAATTATGCAAAAAATCTTTGTAGCTTTCATTTATCATTATTAAAGCTTTTTAAAGTGCCAGGGGACTGGCCTGATAGCTCAGCAGACTGAAGCACCTGCTCAGGCTGAGCACAGCAGCCGAGGTTCAATCCCCGATGTGTCATGCTGGCCCCACCAGGGGGGCACGCTGAGATGACTGAGACCAGGTATGATGGTACACGCCTATAATCCCAGCACTTGGGAGGCTGAAAACAGGAGAATCACTATGAGTCTGATCTATGTACTAAGACCCT